AAAAAAAAAATAAATAAGAAATTTTTAAATGAAATTCGATAGTGAAATTCGTTGTCACTTTTTATTACATATTAAGTCTTTGTGAAAGAGTGAACATGCAGACTTACTTCAGTTTTTAAATTAGTTGGTGTTTCATAAAGGATAGTCTTGACAACTTCCTGCAAACGTTCTGGTGTCGGTTCGAGTATCGCACAATCGGCAATGCTCTTCGCTTCACCACCGGCGTTGGTGGCCTTTACCATATATTTGCCTGAGTCACTGGATTCTCCTGAAATCGTTATAAGAGCAAAGTTTCGTATTATTTTAAGGATTTTATAGTGACCGGAGAATAACGAGACTTTCAATTATCTCTGACATATGTAACTAAGTGATATATGCACATTCAAATCAGCTGTAAACAATAGACACATTTAATTATTCGTTTATTTAAAAAATTATTTTAATTAAGTAAGTTCGTCTTCAAATTCCGCTAGCCACTCACCCTTCTCAATGATCAGTTTGTAGGAGTTGCCTTGTGAAAGCAGACGGTGCTGTGATACACCCGCTTCTTGTATTGGTTTATCGTCCTTCATCCATACAACTGTTGGTTCTGGCAAACCGGTTACCTCAACTTCCATTATAATCTTTTCGCCTCGTTTTACAACTTGTGCTTGCAAACGCCGACCGAAAACTGGTGGGAAAATAGTTTCTGTTGCAAAGGAAAATAAAGGAAAAAATCATTTCAGCGTGCACTACATTTTATGAACTGCAATTTTACTATCAGAAACAATAATAATTCGTTGAAAAATTGAAGAAAAAAATTATTTCCATTTGTCTTAGGTTAAGATTAGATCTCACGATTGGTAAATTTTTCCAATTTTTCTTTTTTGTCGTATTGGTACAAAATGGTTATATAAATCGGGCCGATAATTTCTTTAGCTGTCGTACGATTAGTACAACAATTGGAAATTTAATTGACAGATATATATATAACAAGTAATTTTTAAGTGAAAAACAAAACCGACTTAAATTATCATATAAAAATTGAAGAGTACCATTAACAACCAAACATCGGATCTGAAAAAATCATTTTTTTTT